CAGCCGTTTTAGTACTTCGAGCAAATGCTTTTTGTATCAGCATTATTTCTATATAAGCTGATTTAGTACTTGGAGCATGCTTTCTGTATCTACATTATTTCTATATCAGCAGATTTAGTACTTGGAGCTTGCTTTTTGTATCTACATTATTTCTATATCAGCAGATTTAGTACTTGGAGCTTGCTTTTTGTATCTATATTATTTCTAAGTTTAGAATTGCTTTTTATTTTTTTTGTATTTTTGTTGTCTGTAATAAAGATATCATAGAGGTGAACGTTTTTTAACTGATTTTTACATACGTTCCTCAATATTTCCTTTGTTATTCCATTGATCAGGTTAAAAATGGTCAAAAACACTGTTTGCTGGTTGCCAAACTTTTGGTTTGTAACTTGAAAGACAAAATAAATGGAAAAGATGTATTTGATGTATTTTAAAAAGCATCTTTTAGATGCTAGTAAGGAAAGGTTATATATCTACAGACTCTACAAATTAATAAAATAACTGTTGCATTAATTTCCTTTTCTTAAATTGCAAAATTTATTTTAGTTCCATATTTTCATAAAAATACAAGACAAAACATCTCTAAGAACTTTATCAGATATGAGTTTGTACAGACAGATCAATAAAAAGGGTTCCAGAGATTATACTGAATGAAAAAAATTCTATAAAAAAATCACTTGAATGCTTTAATTCGATCTAATTCAGGCATATATAATAGAATCTTGAAGTTTTGTAAATTGCTTTTCGTTAAATTTAACAGAAAATATCATTGGTTTATAGAAAGTGTCCACGTGAGAGTTGCAATCATGTCTACACACAGTTGATGCAAGTCTATTTTTGCTCTTATTACCTTAAATATTACAGAATGGTATTGTTTAAATCGATCATTCATATTTCATTGTCATGCCGTTTTAATGAGAATGTCAAAATATAACAGATTATTTTGAATTATCATAATGACATAGCAAAATTTAAACCTCTAACATTTTACTCTATTATTTCGACTATTAAATAGTCATAAAAATTAATCATAATTTTAGATCAATGATGATGTCGGTCAAATAATCTCAAAAATAAATTCAGCGAAACTAAAGGATGCTAATATCAAAATCCTCTTATTCAGTTATTATATCATACTCTTTTTTACAGAAAGATAATGAACAACAAAAGTTCAGGACTTACATGGTAACTTGATTGCAGACAAGTTATACACATAGAAATATTAAAACCTTTACACATTATGTCTAAAAATTCTAATTATATTTGTATTGAAGAAAAATCTGGAATCAGAAAAGATAAACTACTGGAATAATAAAGGAATATGGGTCAAATGTCAATGATACAGCAATAAAAAAAGAATTAAAGCAAAACAAACATCTACAGTATATGTCATATCATATGGTCCAAAAAATGGTCAAGTTCAGCACTGCTATGACAAGCTTTATATCACTTAAAGCAACATTAAACTGAGGAGACCTAACCTTCACATGTAACATCATTCAAGGCAATAAGGATTTGAGAGTGACACAACTTTGTAAATTTAGGTATATATCGATAGGAAATTTTAAACAAAGTGTGTGACCTTGAACTTTGAGAAAGACATTCCAACCTTACTGATATTTTACATCCCTAATGTGATAATCAACATGCATACCAAGTGTCATTAAAACTTTGCAAAAAAGCTTTCAGATATACATGTACTAAAATATTGGTATATAAAGTTAGTGACCATGACCTTGATGATAGACATTCCATCATTATTAGCCTTACATTCTAGACTAGAATTTCTAGTGTTGTGCAACAAAAATACAAATTATCATTAGTAACCCTTTTTTAAACTATTTATAAGAGAGTCCAACATTTTATGGCCAAAATATTGGTCAAATAATTTTCAATTATTTAAGGAATGACTGTAATATTTTTTCTGTCTATGAAGAAATTGAATAAAAAATGTGGTGCACACTGAATCTAAGAGTGTGCACCACATTTTTGAGGTTATTTCGAATAGACAGAAAAATATTACAGTCTTTCCTTATAATCTAATTCTAAATACCATATTTAAGGAGTAAATCATGAAAAACCGTTGACAATGTAACGGTCACATGACAAAATTATGTCTATGAGCTGATAAACAAAACTCTTTCAGCCAATCCGAAGACGTGTTACATCAAAAATTAAATTATTAGATGGCAAAATGAAACTTTACTTATCAATGATTGCCTTGTGAAACTGAAATGAAGACTTTTTACTAGTTAATTACAGTCCAATAAGACCAGAGACATCTTTAGTGCTATTGATGTCTCTGATAAGACACTTCAGTAATTGAATTTCTTGGTAATCAACTTTCTAATCCTGTAAATTAAAAGTAATTGTTTGAAGGCAGTAAACTTGGTTCTACTGGAAATTAACATACTTTTTTAAAACATAATGTAGATAAAATGCTGAATTGAAAACAGATAAAAGAACAGCATTGCACAGAGTGCAAAAAAGTACTATTTTCATTTCATAAATAAGTTGAATATTCTCGGAAAAATATACTAAACTATGTTGCAGAAATATCTTGTTCAAGGGATATTTCACTATATTCTTGGCAAAGGAGTTTGATGGTGCTCAATGATATTTACTTATTTAATTAAATAAGATTTAATAAGTGTTTTAACACCAAAGTAAACCATTTTCAAGAAATTTTGAAGGATAAAATTTTAATAACATTGTGAAAACAATCCTCTTTGCATTGATAAATTTATTTGAAGAAAAAATTCGTAAGGGTTCTGCGGAACCCAGTGTCTCGCCTACTTTTGCTGTGAGTCGCAGGACCAACAAAAATGGGGAAAAAATTATTAAAAATTTTCCTCTAGATACTATCTTTTGATTGTAAGAAGTTCTGTTCAAGTTTGGTAAAATTCCAAGAAGGTTTATGAATCTAATAAATGTTTTAAAAACTTTAACTGCAGACTGTACGTAATGTTAACTGGAATAAAACTAAGTCCATTTATAAGTAATATACGGAAAAACAGGAAATAAATTTTTACAAAAATTTCCTTCTAGATACTAGCTTTTGTTCATAAACAAGCTTCCATCCAAGTTTGGTACAAATCCAGGATAGTTTAAGAAAGTTATTAAAATTTTGAAAGCTTTAACCACACAGTGAATGTAATGTTAACTGGCAGAAAAACTAAGTCCATTTATAAGTAAAATACGGATAAACAGGATTTTATTTTAACAAAATTTACTTTTGAATACTATCTTGTGATCACAAACAAGCTTCTGTCCAAGTGTGGTACAAATCCAGGATAGTTTAAGAAAGTTATTAAAATTTGAAAAATTTTTTTTTTTTAAATTTCTTCCGAATACTATCTTATGATTATAAACAAGCTTCTGTCCAAGTTTGGTACAAATCTAGGATAGTTTAAGAAAGTTATTAAAATTTGAAAAACTTTAACCACAGAGTGAATGTAATGTTAACTGGCAGAAAAACTAAGTCCATATATGAGTAAAATACGGATTAACAGAATTTTTTTTTTCTTTTAAATTTCTTCTGAATACTATGTTGAAGGCAATACGGTGACCAGTAGTTGCTTACTTCTATGTCATTTGGTCTCTGGTGGAAAGTCCTCTCATTGGCAATCATACCACATCTTCTTACTTTTTATAAGAAGACTACAAAGTTCTTTATGGATACAGAAGAAAGCTCCTAACAGTGACAGTCAAGATCAAGTTTAAACCAACAGAATCAAGATATTGAGAGAAGCTATTGTCATTCTTTAATCACAATGTGTCTATAATCAGGAAAAATGATCCATCCATTAACACAGTTCAAACATTTCTTTTCAAAAAATATTTTTCTTTTGTTTTAATTCTATGTTATGACTATGTTTGATATTGGAACATTTAACAGAACATATCTAACCAAGTCTAATGTGTGTACACTTTCAGGTGTCTGTGAACCCATTTACTTATGAAGAATCAATAAAATCGAGTTTTAATCATATTGATAAATATTGATAGCATATATTAAAAGTTTTGTGACCTTTATGTTATTGAAAATTATGAAACATATCTCGGTATATAACAATTTAAGTACTGGTAAATGTATCATCGGTTATGTTCATTCATTACATGATCAGACCAAAAACTGACAAAGAACCGCCTTTGATCCTTTCAAATAATCATCTACTTAGGTCTTTAATAAGAGTTGATACCATCAATATATCTGACGCAATATGGATCAGCCATAACATGTTTACATACAAACCCTATTACAAATATTTAAAGTCTTTCGAAGACAGTTTTAATTAATGAATAAGTACCTATTGACACTGATTAGGATAATTTGCTTATGTGATGTCAGTTTATGCTTGATCAACATTTTGTTTTGAATACACTGGGTCTCTTATATATCCAAGGTCATTTTAGTGACCAAGGAGAGATGAGGGAACCTATTAAATTTACATTGAAAGAATTAGTAAATGTTTGTCTCATGTAGTATAATATTTTTATAATTGACAGGAACAAAATGTAGTTACACCTTTTCTACATGTTCTTTTCATCAACTATCTAGAAAATAAAACTTCATGCTACAATATTACTTTCTCACAAGATCTGTGCCTACAGTCAGCAAATGATTTACATTGTAATAATAATGAGATAGACAACATTCCGAAGAGTCATAAAGGAAAGTAAAACAAAGGGATATGACAACATGGTACAACAAAAATATTTAATCGAGACCAGCAGCAGGAGGAACTGCTTCGAATTCATTTTTGTACTTTCAAAGCCAAACTGTTTCACAACCGTAACTTTACATTCCAAACCACTGTACTTAACGGCATCACTTTTATATCATCACATTCTATTCAACTGTCTTTCATATGTATTAAATTAAACTGGTGCAAAAAGCCTAAGATTTTTTACCAAACCAAACTGCCTGACAGCCATAATATTCATTCCAAACCTAACAGTTTCATAGCCAAAATGCAGAGAACATTATATTAACCTACCTGTAGAAAAAGCTATACCAAGTACAACACCAAAACCAGTAATGGCCAGCACATCATCTATACTGGCTGCTGCTATCACTAATGTAGGAATTCCTTTGTTTAACCCATAACCTCTGTCTGACAAGTTTAGGAGAGATGGTACTACAACTGCTGGGGATACCGCTGATAAAACAAACCTTAAAAAATAAAACACAGATATTGTAATTGTTTTTTTTCTGGCAGATTCAGGAGGAATGGTACAAAAACTACCAGGTATAAAGCAACTACCAGTAGATTATAAATAAACCTTCAATATAAGTTTAAAATGTCAATGTTTGTTTTAGAGGGGTTGGTGCAACAACTGCTGGAACAATGCAGCGAAAACAAAACTACAAAGTAAACAAGGGAAAGTTTCATTGTTTGTCTATTATTGCCTGTCAGTTAAAAGTAGTTTGGTGCTTCAACTAATAGGCACGATACACGACTAAAACAAATTAACAAAGAAATCAAGCCAGATGTTGATTGGTTTTTGTGTATTTTGAATACCATCATCTCCATCTATTCATAAGATATTAAAGTCACTCTTTGTACAATGCAGCCAGAACATACAAACAAGATAAAATGTGCCTATTTGTCCATAGCTTCAGCAGAGATTAACCTACAACTAGTGCTGCTAGAACAAACCTTAAGTAAATACATGTGTACATGTAAATGTGACCTATATTTCAAGCTTGAATTATTTTAATTTTGGATTACATTACAGCTTTCCTGAATTGAAAGTTCAGTTATATGATTGTTTAAATGACCCACACATCTGTAATCTATTTTTATTTTAGAGACAACATATGTAGTTAAAATAACTGCTGCTGCCCCTTTAAGAAAGATGATCACACTCAATTCTTTTATTTTGTATATGAATATTCTTTTATTACCAGTTCTTCCCCTTGTAATAAACCAAATGACCTTTTAAATAAGAGGGAAGGATATAATGCATTGATTTATTGTTTATTCTGTCTGTCATTCTCAACTATCAAGTGATTCTCTGCATTGGTATGATTGTAAATTTTTCAATCCATTTAAAGAATATGCCACTCAAAAATGAATACACAACTTTATTTAATTCAGTTTATTTTACAATTACAGAATAGATTTATATACAACCCCAGATATCAAATACGGTATAATAAATAATACTATCCCTGTGCTGACTTTGTAATAAATTAAAGAAACTCTGCAGGGGAAATACAGGTAAAAATCTCATACTCAGGTGTGGGACCAATTATTCCATCTCCATCTTCAAAAGTGTCTATTATAAAACATGGTATGTGACACACAACAGAATTAGTGTTTAAATTACCCATTATTTATAAGTACTTAGTCATGTTATCACAAATTAATCCACAATGAAAAGGAGAAAAGGTCAGACCTATTGATGAGTCAAGAAAATAAGCCACGCCACAATAAGTACTAATTTTAGTAGTTAACCCATTTTTCGTTTCAATTTATACATTTAATTCTTTCTAATAGTTATTCAAAAATATCTTTATGGTCTGTGAACTTCAATAACACTATCCTAAAATAATACAACAAAGTCAGGTTCACACCCAAAAGTCTACCGCAATTTATCCATAATGTTTTTGTTATAGATAAAATTTATTATTTTGGTCATGAATTTCAGATTCTTTGATGTGCCTTTAAAGAAATTAAGAATGCCTGTTGATAAAGCCCTTATACATTATTTGTAAAAACATGCTATAAAGTATAACAACCTATGAACATGCAAGGAAAAATGATAGATCTTACAAAGGACTTCAGTCACTGATGTAGGATTCAGATTTTTAATATGTGTCCCAACAAACCCTGGAAAGCGGATTTTTAGTGAGTATGTATGTACTTACAACAAGCAAGACGTTGAGTCTTCATGGAGACAGATCAACATTATACACTCACAAGAACACACTACCTTAATTCATCATAATAAATGACTAGAATATTATCAGCGATGAACTTGAGTTCTGTATTGTAAGTGAGTTTCTCTGTACCAATAGATTATTTTCATATTATTGATTTTTGACTCTTTTTTTGACAGGTTACCTACTCTTCGGTAGGACATCCTGGTATTCGGTCAAGTAAGAGCATGTTAAAGAAGTAAAATCAAGCTTATAATCGGTGCAATTTGGGGGGGAGGAAATTTTCTGTTTTATGTTTTCTATACACGACAAAATCATCAGAAAACAACTTTTCCCCCAAATTACACCATTTATATGTTTGATTTTACTTTTTTTGGTTGCCCTTACTTGACAGAATACCAGAATGTCCAACCACAGAGAAGGTAACCTGTCAAAAAATTATATAATCTGGAGTCAAAAGTCGGTAATATGAAAATAGTCTAATTTCTAGGAGGAAAAGAAAGAATATCAACATAGCACAGTTGTTTTAAAATAGACTGAAAAATATGTGTCTGAGGACATGAATGCCCCCTCAGGCTTGCTTATAATATATGAAAATACTTTTGGGAGGGACGGAAGGAAGAATAAAAAGACAGGAAGACGGAAGGACAGAAGGTCAAGGGGTCCATTTAATGCCCGCTTCACCTTTGCCATGACAAATCTAGTCTCTTTTTGGTTTTCATTTTTTTTTTGGGGGGGGGGGGGGGGGAGGGGGGGAGGATCCAACGGAATAATGCCAATTGGACAAAATATTCATAAAGTACAAGAAAAAAATCAACATTCAAATTCAACAAATGTATTAAACTTCTGATTTTATTTTTTTAAATCATCTTACAAATGAGAAGAAATTATGTGATAACAGCTTTTCAATGTAGAACTTTGGTGCACAAATAATTCACTTAAGGTTATTACAGCAAGACAAATACTGGTAGTTCATTGTAGTCATTTACTATGGTTAAGCTAAAACTTAAAGCTCTAAGGTCCTAAATATAAATGTCAAATCTTTTCTGTTTCCCATATTTACAGTGTTTCTACTGTTAAGTGAATCTAAAAGTTTTTGATTGGAAATGCAGCTAAGAGCCCATTATCTGTACATGCATGAGGTCTTTATTAGTGCAAGATTTTGTCCAATTTGAGACTGAACTTTTAAAATACACCTGAAAACTTTCACCTTTATACAACTTTTATTACCTAACCTTACCACATGCAGCAAAGTTATGGTACAATTTATCTTAAGAAATCACCCCTGCCTGAGAATTAATATGTTAACTTGATCATCAAGATCAGATCATCCTGTTGTGTCGTTCTATACAAAACATTTGATTAAATTCTATATAGGATTCTCTGAGTGCTTACTATTTTGTACCAATACCTATGTATACTATTACTACAAATATTGACCCACTTAAGGATATTTAACAAAAGTAAATAAATACAACATTGTAAATAAGCTATAACGTGGATAATTGTAAACAATATTATCCATTCACCGCATGATCTTGTTGACTAATATGGCACAAACAACTGCTAAAGTACCTAAATCAATTAAATAGTGACCCATATATATATAATGTAAATGTTAGTGGTAAGTAGGAGTTGTATAAACCTGGTTCAGGTTAATGGACTTTTAGATTCATAATTCCAAAACAATAATATTCATAAATGTTTTTGTTATCCACCGTGTTGTATCGCAACGTCTATAACACTATGATTTGACTGATAAAATTAAATGTAATTTGATGGATAAGTTTCATAATTTGCCATAATGCTTAAATTATCAACATACATTCCGTGTTCTATGCAATTAATTTATTTTACCGAATTTTACAAAAACTAAAATTACCATCCCCTAATAACAATTGTCAGTATGTATGGAAAGAATTGCAAGGTATTTGTATGGAGTGAGTTGACAGCTATCTCTTTAGAGTGAGTTGACAAATATCTAAAATTGAGAATGGAAACGGGGAATGCGTCAAAGAGACAACAACACGAGTCACACGACCATAGAGCATAAAACAGCCCAAGGACGCCAATGGGTCAACACAGCGAGGAAAATCCCACACCAGAGGCGGGCTTCAGCAGGCCCCTAAACAATAATGTATATTAGTTCAGCGAAAAATTAACGTCACACTAAACTCCAAAACATATAAATGAACCAACCAAAATTTTTAAAAAAACATACAAGACTAACAAAGGCCAGAGGTTCCTGACTTGGGACAGGTGCAAAAATCTGACACATATCTGTTCGGAGTGAGTTGACAGCAATTTGTATGCAGAAGATTGACAGCTATATCTGCAAGGAGGGAATTGATGGCTATCTGTATTGAATGAATTGACAGCTATATGCTTGTAGTACATTGACAGCTATCTGTATGGAGTAATTGACAGCTATCTGTACTGAGTGAGTTGACAGGTATCTGTATGTAATGGGTTGGCAGCTATCTGTGTGAAGTACATGAATATCTGTTTGAAGTTAGTTGACAGATATCTTTTAAGGGTTAGTTGACAGCAATCTTTATGAATTAAGTTGACAGTAATCTGTTTGAAGTTAGTTGACAGCTGTCTGTATGGATTAAGTTGACAGCTATCTGTATGGATTAAGTTGACAGCTATCTGTATGGAGTTAGTTGACAGCTATTTGTATGGATTAAGTTGATAGCTACATATGAAGTAATTGACAACTTTCTGTATGCTTTGAGTTGTTAGCTATCTGTCTTGATTATATTGCCAGCTATTTGTATGAAGTATTTTGACACCTATATATGTATGGAGTGAATTGACAGTTATCTGTATGGAGTGAGTTGACAGCTATCTGTATGGAGTAAGTTTACAGATATATGTATGGAGTGAGTTGACAGATATCTGTATGCAGTGAGTTGACAGATATCTGTATGGAGTGAGTTGACAGATACCTGTATGGAGTGAGTTAACAGATATCTGTATGAAGTGAGTTGACAGATATCTGTATGGAGTGAGTTAACAGATATCTGTATGGAGTAAGTTAACAGATATCTGAATGGATTGAGTTGACATATTTCTGTATGGAGTGAGTTGACAGATATATATATGGAGTGAATTGACATCTATCTGTATGAAGTGAGTTAACAGATATCTGTATGGAGTAAGTTAACAGATATCTGTATTAATTGAGTTGACATTTATCTGTATGGAGTGAGTTGACAGGTATCTGTAAGGAGTAAGCTAACAGATATATGTATGGAGTGAGTTGGCATATATCTGTATGGAGTGAGTTGACAGGTATCTGTAAGTAATGTGTTGACAGCTTCAGGGTAAAGTATCTGTATGGATTGAGTTGACAGATATCTGTATGGAGGGAGTTGGTAGCCATTTGCATGGAATAACTTGACAGCAATTTATATGGAGTGAATTGACAGCTACCTGTATGGAGTGAGTTAACAGATACCTGTCTGGAGTGAGTTGACAGCTAATTGCATGGAATAACTTGACAGATAATTTACGACTATGCAACAAGTTGATTGCTTTTTCTAATTTTACATATGATGTTTTTGGGATATTAGAATGCTTTGTTTATTTTCATTTACATCCAATATTCATAAGATTGTTTCAAAGAGAAATTTTTCCATAATATGCTTATCAAAACAGATCATATAACTTAACAAATTGATGGTGTAAAAGTTTTTTATATGTACAGTTACATGTCATAAATGTATCAATAGAAGACATTACTAAGTTGTACAACTGGTGCCTGATCCATATGTTTTAATGAACAATTAAAAAGTATAAATTAAGTTAAAAGTTTAAATATTTCATAAAATGTGAAATGATACTACTAGTATATGTTTATGTTTTAATAAAAATCAGTGTTGTCCTTTGTTTAGAAAAAAATTAAGCAGAATTAATCTTGGATCCATGAAAATTATTTTTAGAGAAATAAATGAGTAGTCTTACCCAAGCATGAATGCCCATTCCCAAGGTAATCCAAGAAGGAAATGTGATGCTATAGCTTCTGAAATACATTCTACCAGGCAAGGAGAACAGGCAAGTCGTACAACAGTGAAAGACAATTTCCTTAATGCTACAGGGTCTAGTCCAAGTCCTGCTCGTATAAGAATAACTGTCAATGCTATTTGTCTGTAAAAAAAAACCAAATCTATTAAAATTTACATCAAAATTTCATGCAAAGAAAAAGTCGGTTTTCTTTTGATGCCTATCATCTATAAAATAAAAGCAAGTTAACTGTACAATGTAGTATTTCTACGCTAGTCACATAGACACATCATAGACACATCATAGACACATCATAGACACATCATAGACACATCATAGACACATAGCTTTGAATAGACAATCATAGCATTTTATGAAATACAAACAATCTTCTTTACAATATCTAAAATGACACTAGCTTTTTTCAATCTAAACATTTAATGGAACCTGTTGGGAGTACTGGGTAAAAATTACAAAATAACTCATCAGTTAAGTAAATTGGAGAAAATGACCTCCATGTAATTATGAAAATGTGAATAATCTAATAATCTGAAAACTGTATAATAGGAATAAAAAGTATCTTTTCTCAGAAAAAAAATACCATAGATTCACTTTAGGCACCATTTGTAGTTGACGACACCAAAAGTCCATGTAATTCATTTAAACAGTATTTTGTCAGAACCATAGTCCAAATGCAAATGTACTTTCATACATACCTTAAAGCACCTGACCATTTGTTATCCAAATGATTGCCCACTACATCAATCACTGGAACATTTCTGAGTAAAGCACCAACCAATAACATACCTGAAAATGTTAATCATAAATGGCATCAACATACAAACAACCATCAATAGTAAAGGTAATAATTTTTGCTTTATTCAAACGACAATACCTTTTTTCAAACTATCAGAAATGGAAATTTTTTTTTAATCAAAAGATCTTAAACGTAAAAGATGTTCGACATGTTTAATCCATTACTTAATCTAAGAAGTATTCTTACCTAATAAGGGGGGTAACTTGATGAAAGATATCAAATAACCACCAAGAACTGAACCAAAAAATAAAACGTAGAGTGAGAAGAAATTTCCTCCAGGTAAGGCATAGTCCTTAAACAATGCTAACAGAACACCAAATGTTATGCCACAGAGAAAAAGAAACTGTAAATATCTAGCAATCACTCCATGTGGTGGACACATAAAAGTAAACTTGAATCTATCCCAACAGTTTGGATTCTCTGGTAAAGGGTGGTACTTTGTTCTGCATGGCAAGCAAAAGTTGTGACAAAATGTCCTCAGTCCATGACATTTCCTGGTGCTCTCTTGCTCTGTCTCTTCAATATCCTCCTCCAAAATAACACCATTCATACCGTCTGCTATGTCTGTTTCTTTAGACATTAGAACTTCTTTGTGGTCCTCAGATTTTTCTGAAACAGGAAATTACCATATTAATACATGTATAATGAGGTGTCAAACATCAATGAAACAACAACCCTGCATTAATAAGATGATATAAAAGCTCAATAGAGCTTATGTTTTCTGTATACTGATATTCGTCTATAAATAAAGCTTTTGAACTTTGAAAAAGCAATAAAACCAGAAGAGACTTCTAGACAACATCATACTTTTTTGTCACAGTTCATCCTTTTGAGCCAATTTGAGGCAGCATTATGTTCCAAATTATAAACAAAAATAAGCACACCTACTGGTAATGTAGCTAGATTGACCAGATAGTTAGGATATTTGGTAATCACTTACTGGTTCATCTAGTTTAAAGTTACCAACTTCTGGTTGACAATGGGCAGGAGTTAAAATTTTGCACTGCATTAGCAAGAATATATAATTGGACAATTCAGCAATTTAGAGATTATGATCTATGGTGTCTTACATTTGAAAATGTAAAACTCACTTTATATTGTAAAAGGTTTGCCTATATAGTGTTACTACCACTCAAAATTCTCTTATAATATATTACATTTTCTTTTTTTTCTTTTATTTTGTGCAATAAAGAATATAAAACAGTATTTAAATTAACTAAGCATAATCAAAATTGAAATTATGTAATAATTTCCACTGTGACCTTATGTTTTTTAAAGTTAATATTTGACTTTTTTTATTTACTAAACAATTATTGTGACGGTGATGGCTGATGATTTAACCTCCAATATTCAAAGAAAAAATATAACAAAAACTTAAAACACATTAAAAATTGAGTGTAAAAAATAAGGTAAACTCTCTAACCTTTATCTTTTATTGTTTTGATTGTTTCATTATTCTTAGATATTGATTAAGCTTCAATCATACATCATGCATACATGTTTAATAAATATCATATCAATCTTGAATGCATTATGGATTGCAAAATCTTTGGTCAAGTGTCGCAAGTTCAAGAATTGCAATATCTAGGGTCAAGTGTCATGGATTGAGTCCCAAATAACGATTATGTCTGTAGATATGGATAAGGTGTTGGCATACATGTACACCGATCTCAAGTTATTTTTTATGAATGAGTTACACCAATTGACCAGAGGTCAAGCTGTGTAAATGATGACCTAAACCAATGGGTTCTTACTGTGGCATAATAACTTAAGCATTGTGACGTGCATATATATATCTACAAATATATAAAATCGTCCACAAAATCCTTTGGTCAGTTATGCTAAAATCTTACTTAGGGTTTGGCGTGTTGGATTTATATCGAGTGCTGTTTGACTATCATAAAATTGTCTTTGTAGAGTTAGATTTGTAAATCGAAATTTTAATACTCTGACAAAAAATAGGGGGAGGTGGCACTTACACATGGACAAATGCCATGCAGTACAGTTCTTGACAGCTGGAAGGGATATACATGTATTTGCTATATAAAGCAACGGCATCTTTAGAAGTTATTGATGCCTTCTCCTTCTCCGTTCTTCCCTTTCTGTATCGTCTCTCTACTATATAAAAGACTAAAGTTATTTCGCTCTTGTGATGAATGTCATCATTATGTGTGCTCGTATTTACACATATTTCGTATTTACATCACGTGACAAAATGTTGTCCGTAACTACAGCATACGGGCACTGAATTCCTGTGTCGGAAATAATTTAGCCACCATTTTGTTAAAGTGAACTAGAACAGTTGAGGAAAACAAAGGAATAATTGATAACCCTTTATTGACAACGCTGAACGCGATTGCATACAGCCTCAGGAGATTATTTAGAAAATGAATACATAACTAGAAATGGCTATAACATGATACCCTTTGGAATTTTTCTGTTTAAATTGCATTAGTGTTGTGATAAATGGAGGGAAAACGAGGGGTGTGTGTCGTGAAATACTTGATTCCCTATCTCTGATACGTTGGTGGGCACAAAGGAAACTGTCACAGAGATGGAGCTTTACATAGAAACATTGACTGGTACATTCTTCGAGCTTAGAGTGTCGCCTTTTGAGACGATAATGTCTGTGAAGGCAAAAATTCAAAGGCTCGAAGGTAGGTTCCAAGGGTCATAAATTATACAGTATGGTCATGATTTCTCAGAATGTTAAGAAATGTTTCTACTCCTTGTTTACATGTTTATCGAGATAATTGTATAAAATATGGTCAAAGAACGACATAAGGTGAGAACAAATGCATGTCTTCTGACCTAGGACAATAGCAGGGGGACATAACTCATGACAACATTCCATTCTCAATAATAAACCAGAATGTTATAATTTTACAGTTATCAAGAATGGGCAAAATATAGATATGAAACATTGGCCTGCATCTTTAAAAGTATTCAGTGATGGTTAACAAATACAATACATGAAGATAAGAAGACCTGATATTTTTAATTTATGAGTTTTTGTGTGAGAGACTTTATAATAAACACATGATAAATTGAGAGCCTATTGATCCAGCTACTCTAAGGCATTCATGAACAATTGAACATACATGGATAAGTGTGTACAGTTTTTTCTGTAAAGATTTATAGAAAATCCTCCTAAAAATATTGAAATTCTGTCTAAATTGGTCAAACTGTAAACAAAGACAAAGAAATCGTAAAAAGTGATGTTATTGTATAAAAGAATAAAAAATTAATTACATATAATGATAAGACTACTCAACCATGTTAATACATTGCTGAAAAATACATGTAGCATAATTTTAGTATACTTGCATTTAATCATTTATAATAATCAATTATTCAGGTTGTTTATTTAACAATAATTAGCCTTTTTATCTCTACATGTTCCCTTAGGGTGTTTATTTAGCATGAATATTGACTGTATAGAAATTAGATTTACAATATACTATTAATCTTTAGATTTGATTCAAAACAAACCTGAGAAATTAAAGTACATGTATCAAATATTTTTGAAAACTTGTATTCTGTCTATATACATTGTACTACTACATTTAGGATTACAGTGGAATCCCCTGTGTCCGCATGGCAGGTGATATCGTGCATAACCTGATTTCATCATATCCACAATGTAACACAAATAAAATCGTTCTTGTAATTGTTTTAGTCTTCTGAAGGGACGGAAAAGAAAAAAAATGTTAAGTTGAAACATAAATTTATTATTGCTATCCCATGATTAACCATATGTAGCCATTTTTTATTTAAAAAATAAATCATCAGATAAAATGAGTTTCATTTTAAGTCAAATTTTTATCTAAATGAAATAAATTTTGCTCCGCATCCTTTGAAACATATATTTTGTAGTATAAAATCTTTCATTTATTCAAAATTAGCTATTATTAGAAGGCATGCACAAAATCACTGGACATTTGAAGCTCTGTCAAAACAGGGGTTTCCCTAATTTTGGACACACATTACTTAAAATCTTAAGGGTGAAACCATACATAAAGAAGATTTCATGAAATTAAAGTATTTCATGAATTTGTTCACACAATATTATCTGATTATTGGTTTTATGAGATTACCAAAGTGAAGCCAAAAGTCTTCAATGTGTGGATACACCAGACTGCACTGTAGTTGGAGAAAGGAAAGAATTATAATTTTATATTATCTGAAATTATTCTCAATAATTATCTGTTTAAAATTTATATATTTGGCAATAATAATATGAAACTACAATACATGTATGTCCAAACTATTTTGTGTAAAACTAATCTTAAACATCTGTAAAGGCCGGTATACATTTGGTATACATTTGTAACTCATTTCTGGTAATACATTGTCCAGGCTAATGAAATTGGCTAACTTCAAGACCTAAGTACACAATTATGTAAGATTGTGAATCTTCATGAAGTTGCAACAACATTGTTAGGCAAGGCTTTGTCTTCTGAAGAAAAATAGAGTATAAAAAAATTAGACAATTTTTGTTTACTTTCTAAGGCAACCTCATATAACCTGCATGTGAAGTTAATTCATACATATGAGATAGCAAATTATTTAAATAAAGGTTTCCTTAAGCTAGAGAAGGATTTTAACTTTTAATTCTATAGCAAACACAACAGACCATGATTATTTCTTTACATTGAAACCTGAAAGGACACCTTTTATCCATGAAAAAAAAACAAAGTCAAACAATGTGTGTTCATCCTGTTTAATTTAATGAAATATAAATTGACCTAAACAAGTCTATCATTTTCTGACTCAGACAAGTCCAAAATTGTAAACACATATTTATTATAATAAAATTGGCTAGACACTGTGTTTTCCCTAGAAATTGTTTGAAGGATGGATAATTGACTGGAAGGATGGTGGTAATGAATTTTTGACTGTTTAATAAACTTTTATTTGAAAGTGCATCGCCATCCCCCACAGGATTCACTAAGTTTGTCTCTGGTGGAGAGTTGTCTCATTGACAATCATACCATATCATCTTATTTTTATATAAATTTTCTTATACTAATTACCATGATTACTGTTGATAAGCATTTTTTAATATTTCATTGTTAAGATGATTTTTATACGACCGCAAAAAATTTTTGCGGTTGTATATTGGTATACTGTTGGCGTCTTTGTCGTCCGAAGACACATTGATTTTCGCACTCTAACTTTAGTTTAAGTGAATGGATCTCTATGAAATTTTACCATAAGGTTCAATACCACAAAAGGAAGGTTGGGATTGATTTAGGGGGTTATGGTACCAACAGTTAAGGAATTAGGGGCCAAAAATAAGCATTTTTTTGAAACTTCCAGACATAACTTGTGTGTTAGTGTATGGATCTCTCTGACATTGTACCACAAGGTTCCATATAACACAGGGAATGCTGGGATTGATTTTGGGGATAATTGCCTCAAAATATTAGGAATAAGGGGCCAAAAAAGGGGCAAAAAACAAGCATTTTTCTAGTTTCATGACAATTACTTGTGTGTAAGTGTATGGATCTTTCTGAAATTGTACTACAAGGTTCCATATCACAAAGGGAAAGCTGGAATTGAGTTTGGGGAAATTGCCCTAAACGTTTAGGAATTTGGGGCCAAAAAACAAGCATTTTTGTAGTTTCCAGACAATAACTTGTGTGTAAGTGTATGGATCTCTCTGAAATTGTACTGCAAGGTACCATACCACAAAGGGAAGGCAGGATTGATTTTGGGGGTAATTGCTTCAAAATTTTAGGAATTAGGGGCCAAAAAAGGGGCAAAAAACAAACATTTTTCTAGTTTCAGGACAATAACTTGTGTGTAAGTGTATGGATCTTTATGAAATTGAACAACAAGGTTCCATATCACAAAGGGAAAGCTGGGTTTGAGTTTGGGGGTAATTGCCCCAAATGTTTAGGAATTTGGAGCCAAAAAGGGGCCAAAAAACAAGCATTTTTCTAGTTTCCAGACAATAACTTGTGTTCAAGTGTATGGATCTCTCTGAAATTGTACTGCAGGTACCATACCACAAAGGGAAGGCTGGGATTGAGTTTGGGGGTGATGAATCATAAGGGATTTCAAAAATTGGGGGGGGGGGATTTTTTTTTTCTTTTAAATTTCCCATTTTAAATTGGTTATTTCTGATTTATATATTAAAGCAAATAATAATGATATGGTTTGAATAGGTAAATTAAAAAAATTTAAGTTCTTAGACCACATTCATTCTGTGTCCGAAACCTGTGATGTGTCAAATATTTAATCACAATCCAAATTCAGTGCTGTATCAAGCTTGAATGTTGTGTCCATACTTGCCCCAACTGTTCAGGGTTTGACCTCTGCAGTCGTATCAAGCTGCGCCCAGGGGAGCATTTTATTTATGTTGGGATGCTAAGGTTACTCTTTAGATCCATGTTTACAATTATTTGTCACAACATGTCAGCTATATTGTAATCGATTGTATCTTATTGTTTTACTTTGGTGCCTTTTATAAAACCAAAAGTAACATGTACAAGTACTTGTTTTGTACCTGACGAAAAAAAAATGAAAAAAGCTACATGTACATGACGTAATATAAAAAAAGGATCCAACAGCAAGTCCCCCAAAAAATTCCCTTCATTCCGAGGAATCCATGTATTATGGGGTCATTTAATTTGTAGTCATAATTTCATTAAATGGATACTAAAAATCATACATTTATTTTAAAGGAATACCAATAGCTCAACAACATTTGATATGGCAGTCTATGGAATTAGAGGATGACTACTGTTTACATGACTACAGCATCCATGATGGATCCACACTTAAACTAGTCTTAGCAATGAGGGGAGGACCCATCAACACGAGGAGAAGTGAGTCTCAACAAATGATACTCTTTTTCACATAATCTTATTCAGACTGTTTGCACTGTCACCAAAAAATGTTACAGTAGTTGACAGGGATATAGAAATATGGGCACCTTGGTCTTCTTCCAGCCAACAAAGTAGGCCATCTGTTTGGCTGTGTATGATGTATAAATTTGAAGCCACATCTGGTAAGAATGGCAACATAAAATCTGATGCCTTGTGAAGAGAAAGTGCATTATACCTTGCACATTAAAGAACCCTTGCAATAACTCTTTGATGTGTTTGAAGGTTGCCTGTTACAAGGCAAAATTTTCTGCCCTATCAAAAATACCATTGTTTTCCAGTGGCATTCCATATTTAATGCCCTTCATCCATTTTGTCCCACCTTTTAGAACAACCTACCAATTGTATTTATTGTTAATAGATTTTTGTCCTGAATATACATGAAATAATTCAAACTGGATTGTATGGATTCATCAATCAATCCATCATTTTTTCTCCTTTACTGATTGTGTGAGAAGATAGTAATAATAATAAATAATTAAGAATAATAAATAGTTTATTTAAAGAGGGTAAAATCAGTTAGTACAATACTAATTTTTATGAAGGACATACAAAAAAAGAAGCAGGGGTAGACAACAACAAGAGTAATATGTCACTGTGCTGAATGAATACAATCTATTTGATCTGGAAAATGAGGTAGTCTTTACATTCAGATATAGCTCAAAAACTAGGACATGGACCCCTAGTTTTTTTCTTTGCCGGTCGAAAACACACACTGACAGTTGACAGTTCAGGCACTTGATAATTATTACAATTTTTTTTTTTACTGTATTTGTGTTGGATTTAGTAAGTTGTCAAAATCCTTTACTCCACAAATAATTGCATGAATCACTCAGGGCAGTTTAGATTTGAGTAACTTGTAAAAAAAAAGCTTAAACTAAATTTAATGCCTATAAAATAAAGAAATTTGTACTGACAGTCCAACACTGGGAAAAAAATCCCTTTTTATACGACCGCAAAAATTGAAAATTTTTTGGTCGTATATTGGTATGACGTTGGCGTCGTCGTCGTCGTCGTCCGGCGTCGTCCGAAGACACATTGGTTTTCGCACTCTAACTTTAGTTTAAGTGAATGGATCTCTATGAAATTTTACCATAAGGTTCAATACCACAAAAGGAAGGTTGGGATTGATTTTGGGGGTTATGGTACCAACAGTTAAGGAATTAGGGGCCAAAAAGGGGCCAAAAATAAGCATTTTTGTAACTTCCAGACATAACTTGTGTGTTAGTGTATGGATCTCTCTGACATTGTACCACAAGGTTCCATATCACACAGGGAATGCTGGGATTAATTTTGGGGGTAATTGCCTCAAAATATTAGGAATTAGGGGCCAAAAAAGGGGCAAAAAACAAGCATTTTTTTAGTTTCATGACAATAACTTGTTTGTTAGTGTATGGATCTTTCTGAAATTGTACTACAAGGTTCCATATCACGAAGGGAAAGCTGGAATTGAGTTTGGGGGTAATTGCCCAAAACGTTTAGGAATAAGGGGCCAAAAAGGGGCCAAAAATAAGCATTTTTCTAGTTTCCAGACAATAACTTGTGTTCAAGTGTATGGATCTCTCTGAAATTGTACCACAAGGTTCCATATCACACAGGGAATGCTGGGATTGATTTTGGGGGTAATTGCCCAAAACGTTTAGGAATAAGGGGCCAAAAAGGGGCCAAAAATAAGCATTTTTCTAGTTTCCAGACAATAACTTGTGTTCAAGTGTATGGATCTCTCTGAAATTGTACTGCAAGGTACCATACCACAAAGGGAAAGCTGGGATTGAGTTTGGGGGTGATGAATCATAAGGGGGTTCAAAAAATTGGGGGGGGGGGGGATTTTTTTTTTTTTCCTTTTTTTTTTCTTTTAAAATTTTCCATTTTAAGTTGGTTATTTCTGTTTTATATTTAAAAGTAAATAATAACGATATGGTAGGAGAAACACACCAAACAGGATGTGTAAATTATTATAAAATAAGTATTGTGCAATAGCAAGAAATTTTCAATTGCACAGTATTGCACAATAGCAAGAAATCTTCAATTGCACAGTATTGCGCAATAGCAAGAAATCTTCAATTGCACAGTATTGTGCAATAGCAAGAAATATCCAATAGCACAATATTGCGCAATAGCAAGAAATTGTCAGTTGTACAGTATTGCGCAATAGCAAGAAATATTTAATTGCACAGTATTGTACAAAAGAAGATACTTCGTATAAATTGCTTATTTCTTGACCAATTTCAATGGGGTTTTATTCTTGAATTCTTGGGGTTCTTTAATATGCTGATTCTAACCGTGTATTAAGTTTTTGGATTTTGGGCCCCGTTTTTAAATTGGTCCACATTGAGGTCCAAAGGGTCCAAAATTAAACTTTGTTTGATTTCATTAAAAATTGAATTATTGGGGTTCTTTGATATGCCGAATCTAACCGTGTACTAGTATTTAGATTCTTAATTTTTGGTTCTGTTTTCAAATTGGTCTACATTAAGGTCCAAAGGGTCCAAAATTAAACTTAGTTTGATTTTAACAAAAATTGAATTCTTAGGATTCTTTGATATGCTGAATCTAAACATGTATTTAGATTTTTGATTATGGGCCCAGTTTTCAAGTTGGTCCAAATCGGGGTCCAAAATTAAACTTTGTTTGATTTCAACAAAAATTGAATATATGGGGTTCTTTGATATGCTGAATCTAACCATGTATTTAGATTTTTGATATTGGACCATAATAGTTGAATGTCCAATTTAAAATTTTTAAGTTCTTAGACCACATTCATTCTGTATCAGAAACCTATGCTGTGTCAAATATTTAATCACAATCCAAATTCAGAGCTGTATCAAGCTTGAATGTTGTGTCCATACTTGCCCCAACTGTTCAGGGTTCGACCTCTGCGGTCGTATCAAGCTGCGCCCTGCGGAGCATTTTATTGTTTTATGTATACATATATTTTTTATGTAACTCTTGTGGGTTATAATTTATTCCAAAATATGCCTTTATAGGCTTTAATCTTACTAATTTTTATACGACCGCAAAAAAATTTTTGTGGTCGTATATTGGTATGACGTTGGCGTCGTCGTCGTCGTCCGGCGTCGTCCGAAGACAAATTGGTTTTCGCACTCTAACTTTAGTTTAAGTGAATGGATCTTTATGAAATTTTACCACAAGGTTCAATACCACAAAAGGAAGGTTGGGATTGATTTTGGGGGTTATGGTAATAACAGTAAAGGAATTAGGGGCCAAAAAGGGGCCAAAAATAAGCATTTTTGTAACTTCCAGACATAACTTGTGTGTTAGTGTATGGATCTCTCTGACATTGTACCACAAGGTTCCATATCACTAAAGGAATGCTGGGATTGATTTTGGGGGTAATTGCCTCCAAATTTTAGGAATTAGGGGCAAAAAAAGGGGCAAAAAACAAGCATTTTTCTAGTTTCATGACAATAACTTGTGTGTAAGTGTATGGATCTTTCTGAAATTGTACTACAAGGTTCCATATCACAAAGGGAAAGCTGGGTTTGAGTTTGGGGGTAATTGCCCTAAAAGTTTAGGAATTTGGGGCCAAAAAGGGGCCAAAAAACACATTTTTTTCTAGTTTCCAGACAATAACTTGTGTTCAAGTGTATGGATCTCTCTGAAATTGTACTGCAAGGTACCATACCACAAAGGGAAGGCTGGGATTGAGTTTGGGGGTGATGAATCATAATGGGGGTTCAAAAAATTTTGGGGGGGGATTTATTTTTATTTCATTTTTTTTCTTTTTTTCCTTTTTTGTTTCTTTTAAAATTTTCCATTTTAAGTTGGTTATTTCTGATTTATATTTAAAATCAAATAATAATGATATGGTAGGAGATACACACCAAACAGGATGTGTAAATTATTATATAATAAGTATTGTGCAATAGCAAGAAATTTTCAATTGCACAGTATTGCACAATAGCAAGAAATCTTCAATTGCACAGTATTGCGCAATAGCAAGAAATCTTCAATTGCACAGTATTGCGCAATAGCAAGAAATATCCAATAGCACAATATTGCGCAATAGTAAGAAATTGTCAATTGTACAGTATTGCGCAATAGCAAGATATATTTAATAGCACAGGATTGTGCAAAAGAAGATACTTCCTATAAATTGCTTATTTCTTGACCAATTTCAATGGGGTTTTATTCTTGATTTCATGGGGTTCTTTAATATGCTGAATCTAACCGTGTATTTAGTTTTTGGATTTTGGGCCCCGTTTTTAAATTGGTCCACATTGAGGTCCAAAGGGTCCAAAATTAAACTTTGTTTGATTTCATCAAAAATTGAATTATTGGGGTTCTTTGATATGCCGAATCTAACTGTGTATTTAGATTCTTAAATTTTGGTTCCGTTTTCAAATTGGTCTACATTAAGGTCCAAAGGGTCCAAAATTAAAGTTAGTTTGATTTTAACAAAAATTGAATTCTTAGGGTTCTTTGATATGCTGAATCTAAACATGTATTTAGATTTTTGATTTTTGGGCCCCGTTATCAACTTTGTCCACATTGAGGTCAAAAGGGTCCAAAATTAAACTTTGTTTGATTTCATCAAAAATTGAATTATTGGGGTTCTTTGATATGCCGAATCTAACCGTGTATTTAGATTCTTAATTTTTGGTTCCGTTTTCAAATTGGTCTACATTAAGGTCCAAAGGGTCCAAAATTAAACTTAGTTTGATTTTAACAAAAATTGAATTCTTAGGGTTCTTTGATATGCTGAATCTAAACATGTATTTAGATTTTTGATTATGGGCCCAGTTTTCAAGTTGGTCCAAATCGGGGTCCAAAATTAAACTTTGTTTGATTTCAACAAAAATTGAATATATGGGGTTCTTTGATATGCTGAATCTAACCATGTATTTAGATTTTGGATATTGGACCATAATAGGTGAATGTCCAATTTAAAATTTTTAAGTTCTTAGACCACATTCAATCTGTGTTAGAAACCTATGCTGTGTCAAATATTTAATCACAATCCAAATCCAAAGCTGTATCAAGCTTGAATGTTGTGTCCATACTTCCCCCCAACTGTTCAGGGTTCGACCTCTGCGGTCGTATCAAGCTGCGCCCTGCGGAGCATTTTATTGAAGAAAGAAATGATAATTTTGATAGAAAATAAAACTTACTTTTATTTGAAAAATAGTATATAAAGTAAAAATGACGAAAAACCTATAGAGGGCCAATGGATGCTAAACTAAGGAAAGCTATAATACTCTTATCATCTTTTCAATTAATGTTTGATGACACAAACCACCATGAAACATTGTTGCCACTTTTACTCAAGTAGGACATTTGACAATAAAACAAACATCAACATTTTTATAAATCCTGTTAAGAACAAAAGCAGTAAATTTTTGGAAAATGATAATTTTTGGATAATTTAGAAACAATTTTAAAAGAGTTTGTAAAATTTCCATATTTTTGATCAGTATTAGGAATGAAAGAAAATCATCTTTGACAGGTTCTACAAAAACTTTGGTCATACATGTGTACATTCTTGAAATTGTAATGAGATATTATGAAGGAAAACACCCCAAAACATTTGTATCATTGATCTGGCATTGTTTATGGTTTCCTCCCTAAAATTAATGGTTGATAGTTCTTTTTTATTTGTTGCAATTTGTCAGTGAACAAAATGATGATGATTTGACATGGTTTAGATATATTCTGTGGTGTATTTTGATTTAAAAATAAGATATAGGCTATAGCAACTTATAGAATTGTTTGAAGAAATCATATAAAACATCAGGTCAGTGCTTAGAATAAAAGTTGGTCTAGAAAACACAGATACAGTACAACCTGTGACTTCCTCTTAGTTATGTCCACCCTCTTGTATGGTCACCATCAAATGGTACACATTTTTTTCTGTTTTTGTTTAGGCTTGTTAAAGTATCAATTTGACCGTTTTCCAAAACAAGTGCCCTCATTGAATTAAAACGGTCCCTCAAAAATTAACAGTGATTAAACTTTGTCTATTGCTATGTTTTGATTTAGTTTTGATTGGTAAATCCTTGAATAATATTTACTTAAATTGTGTTGCCTTAGTCAACTTCATCTCCTATTTAAGATGGAGTTGTTTAAATAGAAAATTATTTAGTAATATATTAGAGATGATCCTATTCTCCTAAAAAAGGATATTTCTACATTGTCAATCAGGAAATAATGATTTCTTCCTCAGTGTTCTCAGAAATTTCTTATATCATCCTGGTAAACAGGAAATTATGAAATACCATCTTGTTTCTAGAAACTATAGCATCACATCCATACCACTATCTATAAGAAACTCATTTCAGATAGCATCACATCCTAGCAATATAGCATCACATTACCATGATGCTTAAAGGCCCTGGGGAGAACACTGTGAATCCTTATGCATTGTCTTCCAGTACAGCCATTTCCAGTATTGTTTTGGGAGGCAAAATTATCTCTGTACAATTTTCAGTGAAAAAATTCATTTGGTCAGCAGACATGATTATAATGGGAAGTGGAAACCCTAATTTTGTTAATCTTTAGTGAGTAGTGTCCTTGTAAAGACTTTTTTATGCTGATTTGTTGAAAGATCGTTGATATTTTATACCCTCATGACCCTAGCAGAACAAAAAGGCTAAATTAAGTGCAAAATATGAAATGGGTGATGTCAAAAATAAATATTTGTTACTGACTTACATTTGTCGATATATGACCTCAAGCTTTTATACTTCACATCCTTTATGTTATAGTTCCCATGGAAGATCCAACACTCAGGGAAATGGCTGAATATGTAGAAGCAAACAGAGATGAAATATGGGAAAAGGTACCAGGAAATAGACAAGTTACTTTACTTGTGTTCAGAGAGGGTGACCAGCTGAACTTTTTCCGTGTAGTTGATAGAGGAGATGGAACACTCACTCCGTTGTCTGAGTCTCTCAGGTATGTAGGTGATCTGTATCAGATATTAGGAAATATTTTTGATACCAGTCTTATGGTTATAGATTACAGGTGTATTTATAACCAGGTAAAACTTGTGCTTCAGAGTAGGTTAATGCTGAATGATAAGCTTTCTTTGGTTAGTATTTTCATGCTTGCTACATCACATGCTTTTAATAACCACTCTTGATATATTCTGTTTAAAAAAACAAACGTTTTAGGTACATATAAAGGACTTTACCAAAAAAAGAACGAGTATGCATCATATTGTGCACTAGCATTAGCAAAGTACATACATGTATTCTGTTTGCATATTTGATTCACAGGAAGAACCATACAGTTAATAAGATTGTATATATGTATTGAATGTGCCCCTATTAGGACATGATTAGGTTAATGTTTCAGAGACTTGACAAAAATATTGATAAAACCATCAACTGTGTACAACATATTTTTGTTGTGTAATTATGGAGCAAAGGTCAATCTTTATGTATACATTATCAGTTATTGAAAATTATCTTTTCCAATACCTGTTATTGTTGAGAATAGAATAAATCTGTTGAGCAACTGTTATTGTAATAAATATTTATTTAGACAAAATAGAATTGCTGAAAATATTTTTTGAAACATGTATATTTTAGTGGTGCCTCCATGTACAACTTCAATGATGAAGAAGAAGATGATGACACCCCTCCAAAAGAAAAGGTTGAAGAGAATGAACAACTGAAAGAAAAAATGAAAACTCTTCGAGGGAAAATGGAAAAATTAACTCTTAAAAAGGTATATTATTGTCAGCATGTAAGTCAAGTATTCATTACTTTGCATCTTGAAGAAGCTTATGAACCATTTGTCCTCAGATGTGTTTAAGCTATTTAATAGTGGCATGGGGTAATTTACTATATTGATAAAGTCAGCATGATATTGTTGAATTATACAACATTGATAAAGTCATGATTTCATTTTTGGTCAGATTTATTATTCATTATATGAACTTCTGGTCAGATTTATTATTCATTATATGAACTTCTGGCATACTCTTACCTGCAACACATACTAAACAGATTTTCAGTTGTATTTGTAAAATGACAGGCAGTGTACACACCTTAAACAGGTCATTCAGCCCCAGTATGTTTGACCAAATAGTAAAACAGCCAATATATTTGTTAATAATCATATCCACATAAAAATAATTTTCAATGTGTAATCATGGTAATAGAATTGAGAAGTGCTGATTATCAAAATAGGTAGTGTCAAATTACAAAAAAGAAAGAAAATTAGAATGTTTTGCAACACGATAAATATTTATATAAAAAAATGCATTCACTTGTGGAGTTGGGTTGCTGTCTCTATTATTCATATCAGGAAGGGTTGTCTGTATATAAACAGCTATTATTAACCTCATTCTGACACACAGTTGGAAATTTTTGACAATATTAACTGTCTGTACTAAAAGATTTCATATTGGTACATAAATAATGATATCACAAATGTAGTAATTATATTGCAGCTTGATTTTGATGTTCTCGATCATTTCATATTTTTGACTTTTCAAACTTTGGTGTCAAGCATACATGTCATGTCTATTGAAGGTTATTCTAGAAACACATGTTGTGTGCACAGAAATCCTATCACAGGTTGTTTTTTTTTTTTTGGGGGGGGGGGGGTCGGGGTGGGGTAAACTTGAAGTAAGAAAACTTAATATAAAAATAGGCAGATGTTGTATGATTGTTAATGAGACAACTCTCTACCAGAGACCAAATGATATAGAAGTCAACAACCATAGGTCACAGCATGGCCTCCAACAATGAGCCAAACCCATACTGCACAGCAAGCTACAAAAACATCTTGTTTTCTTTAGTATTGCATTTAAATATGTTTTGCCTTTTTCAGCCTAGAAAAAAGCCCCGCCCACCTTCTACAGGTCACTCCACTAGGTTACGACAACTTCCAGGTTCTGGACGAGCTCTTGGACATTTAAATAGAAATATGTGCCTCCCTCCAGTTGGTCATACCCGCCATTCTCCTCTTACTATGGATGACAGAACTAATTTAACAGAACCATTGTCTTTATCTACTTTCGGTGAACAAAGTCGAAGTGCCAAATCATCAAGAAGTGGTAAATTAGTGGATAATACTGAGTGTTTGAGTAGACTAAGTCATACATTAGCTAGTGTGAAAGAAAATTCTAGTGTAAAGGAAGCTAGTACAGATATCAAAGATAAAGAAGACCAGTTTCAAACTGCTGCTCTGCCTGAGAAAACTGTTGATAAAAGTTTGTCAAAACCAGAGGAAAATATATCAAAATCAGACTCAGAGAAGCCTTCAAGTGAAACAAAAACTGAAGAAACACTGCCAACCACAAGTTCTCCTTGTAAAAAAGATTCTGTGCTCTCTGCAAATTCTCTTTCCAAAAAAGATTCTGTGCTCTCTGTAAATTCTGTTGGAAAAAAGGATTCTGTGCCCACTTCAAGTTCTAGTAAAAAGGATTATGGAAGTGATAATTCAAAGGAAACTAACAAACCTAGCACATCTAAAGCAAAACAACTTCTGAAAAATGACCTTACAATAGAAAACTTAAAAGAAGTGTTAGGTAGACCAAATACTTCTTCTAGAGATTTAATGTTAGAAAGTTTACAAGAGACCTTTGGCAGACCAACAACATCTTCTAGATACAAAGGACTAGAAAGAAGAAAGGAATTTACATTAGAAAGTTTAAGCACAAGTGAAGCAAGAGCTATGTCAGGACTCTTAAGGCAAGCTTCTCTTGAAAAAATTGGTTCTTCACGTATAGGTAATTTTACTGGTAGTAAATCGCGCTTGGGTAACTACAATATAGGACCGTCAGTTCAGGATGGCAGAATTACAACTCCGGAAGGAAGACTTGTGGTGAGTTTTACCGTTAAAGAAATTAAATCTCTCTTTATTCCAGCTTTGTTTGAAAACCGTGCTAATTTGTGAAGACACGTACACCACTTGCTATTGTAAATTATAAAAATAATAAGCATGGCATTTGAATTACACAGCTTTTGAAAAATCGGTAAAAAGACAAAAATATACATGGCAGCCAGTTGTGGTTTTTTTTCTTTCTCTAAATTAATTTTTAAGTAACCTATTTGAGCTGATATTATGCCTGCTGAATCCTGCTTAAAAAAAAAGTTATTTCACACCGTTGTTTTGGAAAATACAAAAATGTATGTTCATTTTCAGTTGTTGTAATTACATTCATTTATGTATTTTTGGCAGCATGACATTCACATACACAAACTTTACACTATGATTTCGTTAAACATTTTTATATTGATAAGTTTTTGTCACTCAGTAGAAGGTGTCAATCAAAAGTGAATGGTTATGCTAGTATGGCTAGTGACATGAAAGTATGTGTCAAAATTCACAAAAGATTAATTTACAAGGTGCCCAATTATCAATAATATTACTGAGTGTTTTGTTGAGTGTGACCATAATATATTTAATTTGTCAGTTGTGTTAATGAGTACATTTATGGTTAAAATTGATTCATCATTAGGATGTAAATTTTCACTTTTTTATCTTTTATTACTAACATTACATATACATATACAATGTATAATTTAGTGTTTCAATCAAAGCTTGGCACTTGTATGTAGATGTTGACAGAAATTATCACTATACATGTCAATCTATCATGTAAAGAATGACCTTAATTGAAGTGATATAAAAATGTTACATATACATGGACATCATTGTGGAACAATCGAGATGCTCCGAAAAGTTTTCAATTTTTTTCATGTACAATTGAAGAATGTCTACAGTTAACCATTCTGTACATGTTCATCCAAGATTCCAGGTTTTAATAAACTATTACTATAAGTTATATGGTTTGCTACTGACCCCCTACAGATCCATAGAGGTTAGTTAAATACATCCCCTATGTATTTTACTAACCCTCTATGGATCTGTAAGAGTCACTAGTGAACCGTCTTACAATTTTATCACACACAGGACTTTTCCTGCCAAGTCTTGTATAAAAATAAACAATGAAATACAATAATATTATTATATGACCTCATGAACCAAATATGAAATCTACTGACCCATTTTGATCCATAGGTGGTCACCACATGACGGCCTTAGACCAATCATAACGTCATTAATTTATCCTAGGTGCGATAAATGTACATAGAATTACTGTTACATATACCAGATTGTACAATGTATGCATTATACTTTAATGTTTTGTATATTTATAATAGATTGTAATAAAATGCACCATGTACCATCCACGTAACATGAATATAAATAATTAATTATTACAGTCTGCAAGATTACAGCGTGTTGCTAGTAGTCGAGATGGTCGATTATTGTCTCCGTCCCACCGACTTCCTCCTGTCAAATCTAAAAAGAAAGCTGCTAAAAGATGCTTTGTCTGTGCTAAAAAGACTGGTTTAGCAACAAGTTATATTTGCAGGTAAATAGCCATGATAAGATACTTCATAAGTCAGGTTAACATCACACTGTTTTTTGTGCTCAAAATCTCATACTTTTTAAATGATATCACCAAGTTTCATGCAAATTTAAGTGATTTTTTGTTAATTTTGGAAAAAAATCAAATTTTAACAGTCTTATTATGGTATTGGTGTATCATTATCTGTCTGTAAACAATTTTTTCTAAAATTTAGTAAAAATTGATCCATCTGCATGACATTTCAAAACAATGTTTCTGGACACAAAATGATGCTCTTACTTTTTCTAAGTTATTACAATGTATTAGGAACCAAGGGCTAAAAATAAATCTGAAGATGCTCCATTCTACATCTGTTCTGATAATTATTACGCCAACCAATTAAACTTCTGTCTCAAAATTATTGTGTAGTAGTGAATCATACTAGAAAACCCTGAGTATTTCGAACAGGTCTTTAAAACAGAAAGTAGAAAGGAGCATTGTTAGATCTGTGTAAGGGAAACATGGACACAAGATTTGTATTTCAATCTGATTGAGTATTGCAACAGATTTTGTACTATCTTTTAAGTTTCTATTTAAGCTATTTTGTCCTCAAACATCTAATTATAAAACTCATAAAAAACTAACATCATTTTTGTCATTTTTTTTTTTAGATATTAGAATAAACTGTATGGTATTTCTGTTTGCATTTTATTTTATATAATGATTTTAAAATCTTCAGCTGTTTAAAAAGATTAACTTTTAATCAAGAGGGAGAGTGTAAAAGTCTTTTTTGTTGTTATGAAAATATATGTCTGTTTTTGTGGTCAAAGGGGAGATAATCAGATTGTCTTTCTTTTGCAGGTGTGGTAATAATTTTTGTGCTACTCATCGTTATGCAGAATCCCATGAATGTACCTTTGATTATAAAACAGAAGGAAGAAAGTTATTAGAGCAGAGTAATCCAGTAGTTAGTGCTCCCAAATTACCTAAAATTTAACTCAGGATTGATATTAGCTCTTCATTTAAACAGTGCTTTACCACAAAACCATATCGTGGCATACACAATATGGATTAGTTGTTGAAATATTTTGTTTTTGGAGTGATTAAAGTGTTGTTGTTCAGGACTGTGATAGAATAAATACTGTAGTTCAGTCTTTCATTTTCATCTCTTATAAAGGGAAACAATTTATCTGATAAATCATTATTTTATTCAATATTGTTGGTTTTTTTTTAATGAAAACTTGATTGTTTTAACCCTATTTGTTTTTTAAAATATAAATTTTTGCTTTGCTTTACAAATTTTTATAATTGTTGAATAAGTTTTAGAATTAGAAAAAAGACAATATTACTTTTAAAGTGAAAAAAATCTTATTTTATTTACAAGGTGATAAAACAAGTAACTATTTGTATGTTATGTTATGTGATAGAATTTTATAACCTCATACTATTTCAGGAGTTTAATCAACAATTTTGTTAGAGAATGAAAACCTCTTTAAAATTCAGATCTTGCCTTTTTTCTGGGTTTCAAAACTTCAGTGTTTTACCCCGTTAAGAATGATATAATTAGTCTTTATATTATATACATTTATATGTTTTATAAGCAGTATGTACATTTTATAAGGATATTTTAACCCTCCAACTTTTCTTTTGTTTTCTGTATTGAGTAATACATTAGTTATTTTGTGATGGGTGTGTTCATTCATAGATTAGAAAGGATATGAGATTATTGTAATCTAGCCAAAATCTTTCCTGATATTGTTTTAATTCAATTCATTCTTTTTCATAATGACAAACATAATTAGTGTGCATGAATGCCAAACCTCTAATGAATATTGTCACCTCCAAAAATGTAGAAAAACATTCAGTTTCATAAAATATATTGTTTCATAGTATCATAAGGAAACAAAGTCTTAATTAGTCTTTACTCATTTTCCTCCTTTCTTCAGCAGATATATACTGCCGGTAAAAGGTAGGACTTCATTTCTAGTATTTTATTTTATTTTTTTTACAGGGAAACATTTGACAAGTATATATCAAGTCTTATTTGTTTTGTTCTTTAAAATCAGGGGAGCGAACTGTACTTCTATTTTTTTTAAATTCTGTTTAACAAATTGTTGATGAGTAGTTCAAAAAAGGTTTATGAAGGGGTACATAAAAAAAATTCAATTTGGGGTGTTATGGAAAAAATCAATTCTTTTTTATTTGAAATTCACAGATTTTATATGAAATAAAAGAGATGATAAAACAGAATTCAATGTCTTTTTAGAAAATTGAAAAGTACTATACATTTATTAGTTTGGTCAAATTAATCTTGTTCAAAATAGGGGTATATGATAATGTTTTGGAATGTACATACTGCTGCTGAAAGTATATAGTAATATATTTTTAAATCATAATTCACAAGAAAGACTTAATATTTAATAATTTTATCATTGGGATAATGCTAAAAAATAATTACAAAATCAGATTATATGATGATAGCTTTCATTTGAATTTATTTTGAATGTTATATTATATTGTGTTGCTCAGAAGGCAGGCTATCTTCAAACATTCCAATATACATGTCTAACCATACTTTATTGAGTCTAGATTTATTGTCCTTCACTATGTTTCTTTTGTATTCCTATTATATATAAGGGTAGATTAATGAAATTAGACTATTTTGTGGTGCAAATATTAACATTTTCATGTTTATAACAAATGGCAAACCTAAACATTTTCTGTGATCAAACTTGTTTACATTTTTGTTGCACTTAAGTTGTTTTTTTTTTGTTTTTGAATAATTTTCAGTTTTGTGAATTTTTCCTCGAATTAGAATATTTAATTTTTTTGCAATGCTTTAAATAAATATAGACAATTTTTAAAAAGGATAACATAAACTTGGGTATGTTATTTATAATAAATGGATATAGAATACTAAAGCCATATCTTTTATGGAATTCCAAAAATGAATATTATATTATCTTGAGATCCCTAAATATAACTTTTCGTTTTTGTAATTCCAATGGTGCTATATCAAGTGATCTACTTATTTTTGATTTGAGGAATAATTTGTTGATATATTAATAGGTAGCTGATGTGTTCCTATGTTAGGGGCTGTTCTGTATGCTAGTATGACATGATTGAATGGCTGTGAGATTTTGTTGTTTTAGTTGTGTATGTCTGTTGTTACTGTTATGACCACATTAATCATGTTCAGACAGCTGTTTAGGGTAGGTGCTACAAAATCAAGCTATAAATAATTCACAATTTTTATTGACAGATATTGGCTACAGGATATTCTAAAAATACAATTAAACAGTATAAACTGTATTTTAATTGATTTATAATCTGTTTGTTTGAATGTGCTGCTGGGTGTGAAATACTGTGTTTTAAGAGATCTATCATAAATTTGTGATTGGTCAAAGGGAAATAACTCTTGCAACTTTAAAATATGAGGACATTTATAATTAATCACTACAAAATTCATTTTGTAGCTGTATTTTGTAGCATCCTTTCCATAACAACAGTAAATTATACTCTCTCTCATTGTGAGTTAATAATGCAGTGATTGTACATTGTGCACTGATAACTGAGTGTGAATAAATAAATTCTTTAATTTGTAATGATTGTTACTTGATTGCCTCCCTTTGAAACATCTTGTTACTGTATTTAACGTTTTTTTTTTCTTCTTAACCCTGCATGTTTATATTTTTTTAAAGTCAGAAGTGTTAAAAAAAATTAAATTCTTGTTAATTGAGCATTGCATGAAAGGTAGCTAATGACTAAGGCAGACATATACTGTTTTCATTTATTTTCGTGCATTCAGGAAAAGTTTCATATTGACATATCATGCTTTTCCTGGAAATAAAACTACCAGTCTCCAGGAAATCAATCAGAAGAATGACCTGGATATTATTAACACAAAACTAACCTAAGTGACCCATGTATAAAAACTGTAGAGCAATGTGACCCAATTCTAACTTTTAGTCTCAAAACTATCAACAACATCTCTTAAGGAATATTACTTTCTCGACCTGAAACCATGCAAATAAGCCTTGTAAAATTAATTTTAGAGACAAATACAAAATTTAAACCCAAACAAAAAAAAGCTTTCTACAGTGGATATCAGTATTTTTGTCTGTAATTATGATCTATAATTGCCATTTTGTTGAAAGTTACTAAATGGATGTCAACAGACGTATATCATGTATTCTATAGGTATAGGTATTGTAGATATGCATGCATTATTGTGTGTCTGCATTAAGGATTCTGAAGATGAAATTTAATAAGGAGACATGGAGTTAGGGCTAATTTCCACTATTTGTTTCATTCAAATGGTAAAAAAGTTGTCATATGCTATTGGAAATTTGATACTGAAAAACCTACTGTAAATTCAGAATTTGGGTGCATTTATTATTGTGATTTATGAAGAATAGACAAAAATGCGAGATTAATTATTGCGATTTCAGAAAAAGCTGCATACAGATGTCGTAATGTGAGTTCTTAGTTTTGTGATGCTCACCCAGTCGAATTATTCCCATTAATAAAAACCTCAGAATAATTTCTGAATTTACAGTATATCATGTTTTTATATAACTACAATTTTCAACAACTTTACATATTTCTAAAATTCAAAATGTTATTTAGCCCTTATTGATACATTTTGATACAAATTTCAAATATATATATGTTTTTGCAAAATTTTGCATCAAAGGATATCTCTAACCAAAATTAATTATTTTTTACCTGAAAGACAATATACAGCTTTAATTGTAACATAATTTAAGGTTAGTTTTGGGTGTCCTTTCATATTTTGGGGATAAATACTCAATGTTTGTAAAAATCTGTCAAAAGGGAGTATTGGGCTATAGTTAGAGATATTTGATTTGTTTATAAATAAACCATGATATTGATGGAACCTTAAAGTAAACACATGGAGCTATGATAGATGAATTTAAGTAAAGATTGAACAAATTTTTGAAAACCACCATGGTGTGAAGTGAATCCAGAGGTCTACTTCTGTAGGGATTACCTTTTATAGCATATATTTTTTGGCAAATATTAGTAAATTGTTTCTCCTAAAAGGACTTAGAATTGATGAAATGTTATGATTGAGATGAAGTTTGGAGTGATGATTGTAAAAAGTCTCAAGCATTTTCCATATATGTAGCTCCATAAGGGGAGGTGTCTGTCCCTCCCCCCTCAATCTGCCTCTGTCAACCACCCAAAAACCAATTATTCCACGATAAACACAAAGAGAAGAGATAAACAAAAAGTAAATAGCCTTACAGGCACTTTCTTAGCCTTCTGTATCAATTTATAGTCCTTACTGTTAAAAATGTACGAGATTTTCCCATTTTTGTCTCGCCTTGACGGAGTCATAAAGCGAGACATAGGTATGCTGTTTCCGGCAACAATGGCGGTGGCGGCGACAGCAGCAGCGTCAACAATGTATTAGTTTGTGATTAGGTCTAGTTCATAGTGAACCACTAGTGGTAGGTCAATGGTATTTGGTATGCAGTTGTATTAGCATTGGCACATCTCATTACCATGGAGATTATTTGGCCCTGCCCCCTCAGTCAAGGTCTATTGACTTTGAAACTTTGCTTAGTTTACATGTATTAGTTTGTGATTAGGTCAGTTTATGGGGAACCACTAGTGGTAGGTCGATGATATTTGGTATGCAGTTGTATAAGCATTGGCATATCTCATTTCCATGGAGATTATTTGGCCCCGCCCCCTCATTCATGGTCTATTGACTTTGAAACTTTCGCTTAGTTTTCATGTATTAGTTTGTGATTAGGTCCGTTTAAGGGGAACCGTTAGTGGTAGGTCAATGATAATTGGTATGCAGTTGTATAAGCATTACCACATCTCATTTCTATTGAGAATATTTGGTCCTTACCCCTCAGTCATGGTCTATTGACTTGAAACTTTTGCTTAGTTTACATGTATTAGTTTGTGATTAGGTCAGTTTAAGATGAACCACTAATGTTAAGTCAATGATATTCGGTATGCAAATGTATTGGCATTTGCAAGTTTCATTTCCATAGAGATTATATAACCCCACCCCCTAATTATGGTTCATTGACTTTGAAACTGTTACATCGTTTACAAGTTAATGTTTGTGTTTAGGTTTGTATAAAGGGAACGACTTATGAAAAGTCAATGGTATTTGGTTTGCAGTTGTATTAGCATTGGCACATCTCATTTCCATGGAGATTGTTTAGCCCTGTACCTTCAGTCATGGTTTATTGACTTTGAATATTTGCATAACTTACATGTTAAAGTATTGCTATTTTAATTTCAACATTTGCATTATCAAAATAACAAATAGGCGAGACATATCTCTGTGTTAACATTTTATTTTATTGGTTATCTTTGATGAATAAGTTATTTTTATCTAGGACTAATGCATATTATCTATTGGTATATAGACTGTGGGATCCTGGCTCTTTTGGAGCCTCTGAGCAACAAGTGTGGATGAGAAAAAGTAATTTTCACAGTGCAAAGCATTTTTCTTCAGCTTTTATTGGATTTTTTCATTTACCTCCTCTTGATTAAAAAAAAAAAACGTTTCGGTAAGCATGTTATGAAAAGTTAGAACTTTTAATTTGCACTCCGATTTTGATGCAGTTCTCCAGTACATTGCAGTCAAGCACACTACATATATATACTGTGTCCACAATCGGTTTTGATATACTATTAAGATAAGGAGATGTGGTATGGTTGCCAATGAAACAATTACCGGGGTATCAACCAGAGTTCAAATGACGTGGATATAAGAAGAGCACTTATTCAACATCCCAGTGTCTACATTTTATTACCACTTCATGCTTAGCCCTTTATAAGTGGAGTCATTGATGTTATTTTCGACACTCCTTCTAGTAGTACATAATTATATGAATGGTTTGGAAAACTGATGCAGTGATATTCTCTTGGCAAATGAAATTTTGGATATCAATACTTCAAATGATCTTTACTACATCCCAGAATTCTTGATAAAAGCAGAGGCATATAATACAATTGTAGTATATGTCTCTGATCAAAGTTTTATAAACTTTTCGATGTATACGAACCTAATGAAAATGCTTAACATTTGGAGCAGACTAAAATCTGTCATTTAATGCATGGTTATACATAGCAATAGCCTGACACTGACAGGTTGTTTCAGAAATGTTTAAATCCTGAACATGAATGGTTAGTTTAAAAGGGTCCTCTGCTGTTGCTTTTCATGTGTCCACGTAGAGATTTTGTGTCATGTATTAATACACCATATCCTTCCTTTTCCATTACATATGAGTATTATCCTAGTCCTTTAAATGTATTTAGGTAAACATTTAAAAAACGCATTATATATATTTTCAACATCATGCAAAGCCGGCTTAACAGAAGCACATTTTCTCAAGTTCTGTTCTAAATCTATAGCTAAGGTTACTTACCAGATGTGAGTGGAGTAGCATCAGCCATAGTTGCAGAATTTGCTGTGTTGTGGTACCGTCTGATACTCCAACGTTTGTGATTTTTTCCCTGTTTTATCCTTTGCTTTACTATTACACGTTTCCTTGTAATATGAGGCAAATCACAAGTAAGTAAAACATAACATACATTATTTTTTTCGCGGCCTGGAGGGATAAAGTGTCACAACTGAATGTCCATCACATTTTGACAAGTATATTAATTTATTGTGGGAATTTTATAGTGTGTGTCCATTGTTAAGCAGATTATAAAAAGAAATAGTAAAAAATCCAGTAATTTCTACAGTTATTTAGCCGGAAATTCCCGAAATATGAATAAAGAAGATGCAGGGTCATTGAGACATCAACCAAACGGAAACGATAATAACAAAAGACGGCCCATTTACAGGATTAGAAATCGAAAAGCGTTTTGTGTTGGCACCGGCCGACAAAACAGCCCTCGATGTGATATGACGTAAATACTACACGGAAGTTCATTAGAATGTTAATTATGAATTATTTTACATTCACGGTCGTGTGGTGAACTTAAATTTATTGTTGTAATAATAAAATAGTTGCATTAATTGTTTTTGGAGTGAAAAACTGTTTGGGTGTTTGAAATGAATTACGTGCTTTTGATGGTTCTTTTAATTCGGTTAACAGTTATGATATTTCAACTTTCTACACTTCACTTCCACACAATCTTATCAAACACGGGAGATTTCTTATTTCATCAAATATACCTTTAAAACTCTGTTTACAACTTTACTTGCTGTAACTCTTATATAGAAAACATTAGCTGCATTAGGTAAAACCTCTAGGAAGTCTGAGTCCTCAATGCTCTACATCTTCAACTTCGTACTTTATTTTGGCCTTTTTAACTTTTTAAATTTGAGCGTCACTGATGAGTCTTTTGTAGACGCAACGCGCGTCTGGCGCAATTTTCCCTCTGGTATCTTTGCAATTGGTGAGTTTATTTACAACCACTGGGTCGCTGCCACTGCTGGTGGAGGTGTCCTCCCCGAGGGACATTTCAAACAGCCCAGTAGTCAGCACTTGTGTGTTGAAATGAACTATCATTGATATGGACATATTAACTTGATATGTTTGCTTTAGATAATCAAGAAGTATTACCGACATTTGCCCAAGGAAACTAACCTTTTAGA